TTTAAAGATAGGGTTTTACCATGTTGGTCAGGCTGGTCTTGAACTCCTGACCTCAGGTGATCCACTTGCCTTGGCCTCCAAAGTGCTTGGATTACAGGCGTGAGCCACCACACCCGGCTCTTTCTTTCTTTCTTTCTTTTTTGAGACATTCTCACTCTGTCACCCAGGCTTGAGTGTAGTGCCACGGTTTCAGCTCACTGCAACTTCCACCTCCCGGGTTCAAGTGATTCTCCTACCTCAGCCTTCCGAGTAGCTGGGATTACAGGCATGTACCACCATGCCCAGCTAATGTTTGTATTTTTAGTAGAGACGGGGTTTCACCGTGTTGGCCAGGATGGGCTCCATCTTCTGACTGTGATCTGCCCGCCTCAGCCTCTCAAAGTGCTAGGATTACAGGAGTGAGCCACTGCACCTGGCACATTTAAGTCTTTAATTTATCTTGAGGTAATTTTTGTGTAAGGTGTAAGGAAGGGGTCTAGTTTAGTTTTCTGCATATGGCTAGCCAGTTTTTGCAATACAATTTATTGAATAGGGAATCCTTTCCCCATTGCTTGTTTGTGTCAGCTTTGTCAAGGATCGTCTATGTTTGTCAAAGATTGTCTATGTGTGGCGTTATTTCTGAGGCATCTGTTCTGTTCCATTGGTCTATATATCTGTTTTGGTACCAGCACCATGCTGTTTTGGTTACTGTAGCCTTGTAGTGTAGTTTGAAGTCAGGTAGTTTGATGCCTCTAGCTTTTTTCTTTTTGCTTAGGATTGTCCTGGCTGTAGAAATATGAAATGCATCACAGAATTGCATGTCATCCTTGCACAAGAGCCATTGTTAATCTTCCCTGTATCATTTCAATTTTAGTGTATGTGCTGCCAAAGTGAGCACCCTGTAACATAATGTTGAGCACGTCGTACCTGTTTAGAATGCACTGCATTAATACATGTGTATGTGTTGTTTTTAGAATACAGATTTATTAAGACATTGCTGCCTTCTGTTTAGCCTGTTTTTTTTTTTGAGATGGAGTCTTGCTCTGTCGCCTAAGCTAGAGTGCAATGGGCTGATCTCCACTTACTGCAGCCTCTACCTCCTGGGTTCAAGCAATTCTCCTGCGTCAGCCTCCTGAGTAGCTGAGATTACAGGCGTATGCCCGGCTAATTTTTGTATTTTAGGTAGAGATGGGGTTTCACCATGTTGGTCAGGCTGGTCTCGAACTCCTGACCTCAGGGGATCTGCCTGCCTTGGCCTCCCAAAGTCCTGGGATTACAGGTGTGAGCCACCGCACCCAGCCTAGCCTGTAAGTCTTAAGGAGCCAGCAAAGAATTAAGATGCTAAGTGGTTGTCTTCATTTGTACTACAGGTATTCGTGTTGTGACAAGAGTGCTGAGTGTAAGGGATTCTCTGCTGTGCCTGCTTTCTCTAACTAGTGTTAATAATAATCATAGAGCGAGCAACATCAGCTTTGACAGGAAACTTGTTTAAAACACCCATTCATAGACCCTTTCCAAACCTGCAAATCACATTACATAGAGTGGGGCCAAAATTACCAAGTGATTATAAACACATTAAAACTTGAGAGGCAATGCTTATCAAAGTGTTACAAGCCCAGGCTTCTAATTAGAATCAAATGGCCAATCTGCAGCAATCTCTTTACTTTTGGTTTTTCCACAGGTTCTGTTTAATGTTCTGGGTGGAAGCATTCATGTTTTTTGTTTGTTTATTTTTTGAGATGGAGTCTCACTCTGTTGTCAGGCTGGAGTGCAGTGGCGCGAACTCAGCTCACTGCAACCTCCACCTCCCAGTTTTTTAAGTGATTCTCCTGCCTCAGTCTCCGCAGTAGCTGGGACTATAGGCGTGCGCCACCATACCCAGCGAATTTTTGTAGTTTTAGTAGAGACAGGGTTTCACCATGTTGACCAGGATGGTCTCTATCTCTTGACCTTGTGATCTGTCCACCTCAGCCTCCCAAAGTGCTGGGATTACAGGCATGAGCCACTGCGCCTGATGCATCCATTTTTTTTTTTTTTTTTTTTTTTTTT